CAAAGCGCGGCTTTTTAATGCGGCTGCGCGCCGTCGGACGGCGCGGCGATGCATTTCGGCACGCGCTGCCGTGCCCCGCAAACGTTTGCTCCCCACTGTACGTGTAACTTGAAACATAAACCATATTGTAGTCATGGGGACACCGGTAGCCCCCTTCATATTTAGGTGGTAGTTCAACCACCGCCTAAATTTGACTAAAACTCATAGCGCCATAGATTTATAAGTCGAGGATTACCATTCCGCACAAAGCTCTAACGACAGAAGTGAAGAGGATCACAATCCACGACCGTTCATTATACCTTGTGAAGGCAGAGGCGGCAGATTTTCGCAACCTTCGTCGTGACTGAGGAATGCTCAGAGAAATTTAACGCGATCAAAACGAAGCAGAAAAAAAAAAAAAAAAACAGCATTTATCGGTGTTATTAAAACACAACCGCAAGTCCACGTGGTGAATGATGTTGATTGGGGCGAAGCTCTGGTGGTGCTTGTCTGCGTAGACGCTGAGCCGCAGCATGCCGAGCCTTTCGTTCGTTTTCATCCATGTCACGCTGCAATCAAATGCTCAAATGCGTGTATAACCACGTTCCATACCACACATTCTCTTTCTGACATGGATGAAAACGAACGACAGGCTCGGCATGCTGCGGCTCAGCGTCTACGCAGACAAACACCACCAGGGGTGCTATGTTGCGCTTTTTGGACTCCCAGGAGGCAAGGGAGAAGGAAGTGACGTCAACGACACAGCAAACGCAGTTTGGGTGTTGATTTCGTTTTCTTCTGTCAACATCCAATCTGCGTTTGCTGTATCGTTGACGTCACTTCCTTCTCCCTATAGTCTCCTGGGAGTCCAAAAAGCGCAACATAGCACCCCAGAGCTTCGCCCCAATCAACATCATTCACCACGTGAAGATGCGTTTTTTTTTGCCCTACACGAGCACGGGAGCACGTGCTCACGCGCTCGTGAGCACGTGAGCGCGTGAGCTCACGAGCAGGAGCATGTGCACCCGACGGCGGACGGACATACGGACATGGCTAGCCCCTAAGGAGCTTCGCCCCTAGAAAACAGTTTTCTCGGAGATTGTATATAGTAAACATTGCAAAATCCCAATGCAAGAAAGCCAAGGGAATAGCTATTAACAGAATCATCGCCAACAAAAAGTCTCGAACTCACGTTCTACAGTTAGAAACTAAGCTCGACGTGTTCGATCGAACACGTCGAGCTTAGTTTCTAACTCCGATTCAGCAGTTAATTCCTTGGAAAAGACCGATCTCACATGTATACTCTTTTGACTTCTCGTCCCGTGACTACCAGTTCGAGAAATAGATGTTAAGATGACAAAAACTATAGTCATTCGCAGGTTAAGAGGTGATGTGAAGCTACTGGCACCCCCTTCCACTTTAGCAGAGCGAGCACTGGAGAGTAGGCAACCTTTTCTGAAGCATTCGCTCTGCTTCAGAAAAGGAGGAGGAGGTGCTTCCCCTGAAATCTTACCCTGTCACCAACTACAGAGACTGTTGGTGCGAGGGGATTTGAGGCGCTCTATACTTTGTCTCATCCTATGATGGACTAAAGGCCAAAGCCACGGGCCGCCAGGTCCAGTCACATTCCACGCTGTACTATAACACGCTTAACATTGATTAGGGGTGGACGAATAATGCTCAAATCCAAAAGTGCCGCATCATTTCTATAGCTTCGACGCTGCAAAGAGCCTATATGTCGTGGCTTCTTTGCGATGTAAAATTGTTGAGTCACTCAGTGCTTTTCAATTCGAACCACTGTCCACCCGTCCCCTCGTCAAAGATCCGAGACGTGGGCACCGAAGCGTGCATCGAAGCGAAATATCGCACAATTTCTAAGTTGCTCGTGATTTGATCTGGCGGTCCGTAGCTTTTGCCTTTAGTCCATCGTAGGGTGAGACGAAGTACAGTCGGGGTATATTGTCACGAATGAATGTGACAAGAGGCCGAACAGTGAACTGAAAATAAAGTTTGGATCGGCGAACTTCTCCCAAACAAAATAAAGAACGAGCGTGGAGGCAGCAGAAAAGCGGGCGGCGATTTCGCGGCGTAATAGCAAGCGAGATCGAGACTCACTCGACAAGGTCCTGCGCAGCTCCTTATCTAGGGTGCGTGACTATCTCGAAAATTTGGCAAACAACCTTTGAGCGTTGTGTGCTTGCGCTCGGGGTGAGAACGAACAGGCACTGTCAAAAGCAAGAAAACAGGACGAAATGATAAAAGTCACGCCCCGAGCAAACACAAACACGAATCCTTTAGAATTTCGTGACTGAGCGTTGCTTGCTTGCCCCGCCGCACGGCAATATGCAGATGACAATTTCAAGAATCGTGCGTGCAAGTATGTCATGAAAATATATTTCGCGGAAGATTACTTTTAATGTACCTGTTCTTGTAAGATAGAATCAATCGTATGTCTCGCCACAGCGGTATTCGGAGTTTTATATTTGTTGAAAAATTAATAGCAACTTCACCATGAAATCTTAGTCTTTTTGTAGCATCGTTTGAGCGTTGTAATGTCTTAACCAGAGTTGTCAGTGTTACTTCACAAATATACCTAAGATACAGTTTCAATTACTCATGCAAAAAGTGCCTGAGCTAAGTTCCTAGATACTCATTGACGAATGTACCTAGTACAGATAAACATACTTAAAAATATTTTTATATTTGTATAAAAACGGGAAATAGGGGTAAACGGTACGAAGACATTCACCAACAAAAATGTCGTTCGGAACGTTGATGGCGAGCCCCCGAGATGTACAAGTTCGAGTTGCGTAGATAAAAATATATTTCGTCGGTTTTACACGTAATAAAAAATAAACACGTGATTCATCATCGAATCACCCAAAATCAAAACCGGTTTAACAGAGTCGTCGTTAAATGTGCAAATATACTTACGACATATATGTATATATATATAGATGGAGAGAGAAAGAGAACACGGTCGTTTAAAGCCCAAAGTTGCAGTTGGAAGAACCACGGTTAAACGAAAATGGAGAAAGCAGAAAGCATGGTGTATATTTGAAAAATCGCCACCCGCCGTGTCAAGCGACGTTGATGCATGCCATCTCACACCAATTCAACGAAAAGAAGCAAAATGCTAAAAATCATAAAACATATCTTTCCTGCTAAACATTATGAGAGATGCCGCCTTCAAGTCCAAATATATCTTGACAATTTATAAAAAAAAATTTTGGATAAGGCCATTGTTCCTTATAAGGGGATACACGAGCACGTAAGTTCGAAACAGTGACTTTATTGGTGCGTCAGTGCCAGGAATAAAGAAAACCGCAGTAACTCAGGGACCTCTGGCAGCGTAATATATTTTCTAATTTCGCTGCTCAATTCGCACTGAAGGCTGCGAAAGTGTCATTGAGGGGGTGATGCATTATTATGCCCAAAGACAACTAGTGCAAAAGTAACCTGCATTACTTTTTATTTTTATCTGTAACGTGTTATTTTTATTTTGATATTGTCACGAATGAATATTGATAAGGCGATAACAACTGAAGGAACTAAACGTTTAATGGGGCGAACTTGTGCCCAAAACAAAATGAAGCAGAATATAACAGCAGAGCGTCGCGGGCGTCATTGGCGGCGTAACAGCAGGATCGAACGCTGGGGCGAGACTGACTCCGGCTTTCCACGGGGAGCCCCTTTTGTACACGCGTGGGCTTCTGGAACAATCAGCGTAGAAGTTTCGGCGTGTAGAACGTTCTAACTTCGAAGGAGAGCGCGATAACTGTTAGGCCACGGCCGCGCTGCCTACTTGGCCAGCTGCGCGCGCGACAATATGACGTAGGGGCGGTAGCACATCACTTTTATTTGCAACTAACGTAGATCGTATTTCGTTACTTATTTTCTGTAGCGCGTGCAATGCAGTGCCCAGCCGAAGATCGCGTGCTGCCTCATACTGTCAAAATTGAGGTGTTCATTCTGAAGACACTGCAAGCAAATCAAAAACCTGAATTTATTAACTGAATGTAATGGCACAAGGAATCTAGTAAATACTAAGCACAAAAAAAAGAGACTGCGGGTGGAACAGCATACACAAGAAAAGTCGAATTTATATCGAAGTTTGTTATCTCTGAGATAATGTGCCTTTCGGCCCCGCCTTAGAACGTCAATACCTCCCAGTTCTAACTTTCTATAATTTGGCGAATGTGAACGAAAAGTACCTGCAACAATTAACTTCACCAAGTTACCAGTTACTGGAAAATGTACCTAAGGTAAAGGTACAGATACAAATGTAAAATGTACCTAGATATTTGCTTTAGGTACAACATAAGTATCTAGTTACTCACTTGCAGTTACTTTTACCTAGGTTTTGTTCAACCTCAGTCTTAACTTACAGAGGTATTGTATTCTCGCCGTGTGCAGTCCTATCAGGTAGCGAGGTAAGTGCATCTGTGAGCTTCAGCCTGGCGACTGCAGCGTAAGCCCTATTACTTCTAGTGGTAAAGCGCCTCTAAAATTTGTTAGAACTTTGCAGTAGATCACAATTGACAACTGTGTTGTTTTGTTTCAAGTAAGATTCTGGCGCTAACTGTAGGATCCGTTTTTTTTCTTTTTCCAGCGTCCAAACAGTGGTTTTAGCGGCATCTTAGTTGTGATCTATCAGTGTTTTAATTTTGTTTTAGTTTGGGGCTTAAGTAGTTTGATAATAAACTGTACAAAACGATAACCATCTTATATATTTTCCAACTAAAATGAACTTCTTAAAACGAGGGTACTTTATCCACCAACATACCTTTGTTACTAAATTTTAGATATTTTAAATTAGCTTATTGAACTCGTCAAAAGCTTTGTACGGACACGTAAATATTTTTTATGTGCGAAAGTTAATCTCGCGCTTGTTATGTCAATACCAAGATTGTGTCTTTACAGAAGATATTTTTTCTTTCAGGTCAAAGCTAGCTCCTGGCATTGCCAACGAGAAGAAAAAATATATATATATATAACATTTACATATCCCAAGGACGGTTATGTATAAAATATCCCTTATTATTTTATTAACTTCGCCTCTCGTTTTTAATGGTAACTACTGTTACATTTTATTTTATTTCTTATACCTTAAAGGCCTTGAGGGGCATTACATAAGCGGGTAATTCATAGCACATTCAGACACAAAATAAGGCTTATAAAAGTGCAACCACTATTTCTCGTTGGTTCTATTTACTTTCTTATTCTACTATTCACTTTTCAATTTTACTCTACTGCTCTACGACCCTGCTTTTTGCAGTTACTTATGAGACAGTCTAGTCGTATGGATGTTTCTGCTCAAGGGGACAACCACAAGTGATTTAAGGCATACAGCTGCGTGTATACCTTCGACCCGATATCATGATATCAAGTGTTGAATCTTAGTCTCACTGTTTCTGCAATGAGCGGAACCAAGCACGATTTAACTTGACCTGGTGCAGAAAACGCGCTGCGGTGGCGAAAGGTAAAAGCCGTGGAAACATGGCCAGACATTTGTGACAGGCATTTCTAGTTCACGTATCTGGACCGATGTGAGGCGCACTCACCTTATTTTATGCCGTGTGAAAATTGCCGCCAGAGCGAAATATGTGCCGAGTGAAAAAACAAAACAAAACAGTGACTCCGGAAAAAAAAAAAAAAGAGATAATGAGTGTCTTGCGGTTGCATCCTACTGATAACTTTATCCTTCTCACTTACCATTTCACGGCGATGCTGGGATCAAAGGAAGAACCTCGGAACTTGAAAACAATTTTGCAGAAATCATCGCACACCTTTCTGTAGTTATTATAGTTGACTTGGAGTGCGATATATCTAAGTACCTTCAGATATAACTGTGTCGTCAGTGAGTATAAGCATAAAATATATGCTATTATTAGTGGTTGATTCTGTACAAGACGTATCTAGGGTGAAGTTTGAGCTTATGTATTCCAGGCTCATACCGTAAAATTCCGAGCCAGCCCCCCCCCCCCCCCCCCCTCGCACGCAAGTCAAATAACCGTCAAAACGGGGGGGCGGGCTATTCCAGAATGGCACTAAAAATCAAAATGGCAACGACAAAATTTTCCTGCAAAAAAAAAAGAAAAAAAAAAACGCGCAATGCCTATGGATTTAAAATTTTAGTTATTTCTGGGAACATGGTCTTTATTAGGTCAGGGAGTTCGCGGCAACTTGCTGCGTCCGAAAATTTCTCTGGCATCTTCTGTCTCTCGTTCGTGGAGCGGGGCATTGCAATTCCGAACCGCTACTTCCGCCTATTTATGTAATGCCTGGAAGCTACAAAGTTTCCCAGTGCATGCCATTGACTATTTTGACAGCCTGTTGAGAAAGAAGCCAGTTGCTAACGGCTCGTCCAGCACTTTGGCATTCCAGGAATTCAAAAACCGCGTCGTCCACGGATTCACTGAACACCGGCGTGCCGTTATTTAGCTTTCTTCGAAGTTGGGCTCTACCGTAGTTTTGCTGTAGCGAATTGTCAAACGTCTTGTCCCATTCCCGTATCCGTTTCCGGTCGAACTTGAAATGTCGAGACGTCTGGTGTACGTTTTTCACGATGCCATTGGACGACCTCGAGTTTTGTCACTGTGTAGGAATGCATAAGCATGGCCGACTTGACACCGCCAAAACGAAGTGATAATGGCACGCGGCGACCGGGCTGATCGGGCTGCAAAGTAGGATGGGATTGGATTCTTGGATTGGATTTGGCAGACCAGTGTTGCCCTGGCGTTGTGCGGCATAAGGGTGCGGGAGCGGGGGGGGGGGGGGGGGGGGGGGGGGGGGGGCCGGCGATTTCATGAAACGGCGCGGAAATATCAAATTAGCAGTGAAGTTGAAAGGGGGGGGGGGGGGTACTTTTGCTCGGGTGGGGGCTCTCCCTCGGAAGTTTACGGTAATATTTTACGCGTCGATTTACGTTCACTTTCCGCCTGGCGCAATGTTGCCACCAATAAAGAAAGCAAATAAACTTAGAACAAAAAAATTTAATCAGGTGAACTTGCACCTTCAAACCTAAAGAGAAAGGCGAGACGCACCTTGCGTCGGTGCCGGAAGGTAACCGACCTGAAAAGGGGAGTTACAGCAACTTTTATATATGCGGCATGTTCATGAATATTCTGAACAAGAACACTCGATGACTGCCGTGAGTGGGCAGGGGTTTCTTAGAACATGATGAAAAAATAGCGCACAAAAGACGAGAACATGGAAAGGAACCAAACACAGAGGAGGGAAAAACACTATTTCCTCTTCATGTTCAACTAGTACCAAGTCACTCAGCTTATCACCTTACTACGCTTTATTTTTTAGAAGAGTACAGAATTAATAAAAAGAGGATCCGGGACGACCATAATCCGAACACGATCCCTCTGCGTGACAGCCGCAAACGTTGCCAACTCCGCCACGCAAGCGGATTTTTTTCGGATTCGGACGATGACACAAAGCAGTGACACACATTCGCGATGAAACACTAAAAGACAACAGCCATCTTGGCTTGTGCCGAACATGCTACAAGTCTTCGGGGGTAGACAAGACCTCCAAAAGTGGCAGCCACATAGGTATAGGTTTCCGGTCCTTATATAATTTCTTAATAGCCGCGTCCCACTAGAGCGACAGAGAGCAACAAACGGCAGCGACACACGACAACGAGCGACAGACGACACCGACAGACAGCCTGTTTGTCGGAGCCCGCCGTCCCACCTGGCGGACACGACGCAGAACACGGGGGCGAGGAATCTTGTTTCCCAGTGGGACTGGAGTTGTCAACAAAACACTTAAAAATACACAGACAAACAGTCTGGCGACGCGGTTTTCGTGTTTTGCTCTTTGGGCATAAAACCCGCCGACAAACAAGGTGAAAGTGGCGACGACTACTTTATTTCTTGATTAAAGCTTCCGCTCCTCTTCATTTGCCGTTGGCGACTTTCCGCAAACAGTCGTGACAATCGACACCAAGCTTTTTCCGAACTAGAATACCCGAATCGTTCCTTTTTTGGGCCGTTCGAGGCATTCTAGGTGAGCGTTACAGAATTGCACGCCGAATTCGAGGATGTTTATAACTTCATAGTTGAATGATCGAGGTCAGGCGTTTTTTGATGGACAATACGGCATCTCGATTATCACAGAACGTGATGACAAGTCTCTCGTGTGGCGGAATGGCTTGCCACGGAACGTAGTGTCCTACTTGGTGGTGAGCGGTCTTACTTTGGTCAGTCCTCGCACATGGGTGTATCCATCCTGATGCAGGGGCGTAGACCTCGGTGTCTTGAAGCACCACATCGCGCACCAAGTTTTCGCGAGCAAAACCAGCCACAGTAAATTCCCTTTCGCAACACGCCCTCCCGGCGCCAGCAAGCAAGCCGCGCCATCGACCAATACGTGCAATCGAGGGACCGGAACTGCGGGGCCGGGAATGAGCAGTGGCCGCCAAGGGCTTCTCGTTCCCGGAGGAAGGGTAGAAGGGTGGGAAGGGAGGCAACAGAAGGCACAAGCGGGCGAGGAGGATAAGTTTGTCTCCGAGAGATGTTCCTCAGTGGGACTGCTTGTTGCGCTTCAAGTCCAACGACAGAAAAGAACTCGTCCGTCGTCGATCGTTTGTCGTCGCTTGTCGGCGGTTGTCGCGGGTGTCGGTCGTTGCAGTGGGACAGCATCGGCGACACGGAACCGGTGTCTGTCGCTCTCGTGGGACGAGGCTATAAGACAGCACATGTGTTCAACAAAATACTTATGCACGGGGCGAATGTCGCTATCCCCGTGGCGCGCAGCCATACGGCACGCCATATTATGTGCAGGCCCAGCAGTAGGATCATGTCGTAGGGCAAGACATTTTTCCATTCTACCACTCAAAAATGTTTGCTATGGGGCGTTAATCGGAAACCCTTTCTGACGGTCCAATGCGGTACGTCCCGAAAGAAGTCCGTGTCCCAACAATCTAGGAAATCGGGATCAACCGTTTTACAGCGGAGCTGTTAAAGCCCAGGATCGTGTCCGGTACCAAACAAATGTCGATACCCGTGGCCGACACAACACTCTGGTTGCCGCCGCCGCTCATAGATGGCGGTAGCTGTCCAGAGTGTTGTGTTTGCCGGTTGTCTGCTTGCCGCCGTTGCTTATAGATGGCGGCAACCTTTCTTCGGTGGTAAAAGAGCGGGAACGGAACGAGTGGCGATGTGCGCAGCAGCGCGAATGGTTCAGGGTTGGGCAGAAATACTCAAAAATGTATTTGAAAACACAAACACTGAGATACATTAAAAAAGTTGCCAAAATACTGATACTAAAATACGTCTGGAAAAATGTATCGCGATTCGTATCGGAAATACATTTTAAATATAGGCAAAAAGTATTTGGAAATACAAATACAAGAATACATTTTACGGGGGGCAGAAATACAAATACAGAAATACTGATACTGCAATACATTTTTCCCATTTTTTGGAGACGCCAACTGAAGGGGTGTCCAAACAGGACACTAGAAAACCGCGACTCCGGCAAATCGTGCCGCGCTCTGCCGCGATCCGCTTCCGGCCGTCGGAGGGAAATTTCCCTCCGTCAATTCTTCCCGGGGGGAAACTTCCCTCCGTCAAATCTCCCCCTCGCTTCCTCCACGGCGGCCTTGCTCTGCTTATCACGTGGGTCCGGAGAGCCACTCACACGCTCTGTTGGCTGTTGGTCAATTGCTCAAGGCCTCCGCTCACAATACGGAACCGCATCGGACGCCATCACGACGAAAGTGAATCTCGACAAAGAAAGCAGATCCGAGGCGGGCGAAACGCACCCTTCGACGCAGGAATGTCCCAAATCCACCCAAAGCCGGACCTCCTTGGCCTTCGAGCCGAGGCGACGGCGGTACGCGAGGGCGTTGGCGAGGTGAGACAGACGCAGGTGGCGTGTGACGTCAATCTGAAGAGGAGAGCAGTCGTGATCGTAAAAATTTTCACGACTCCTGCAAACATTTTCACGACTCCGACAGACCGTAAAAATAGAAGCGTCCGCTTCAATTTTCACGATTTGTCGGAGTCGCGGGTTTTGTAGTGTCCTGTTTGGACACCCCTTGAGATGAAGCTTGAAGTTTGAAGTGGAAGTTTTTGATCCCAAAATTACTTTCCCATACGCTTGGCACTTTGCCTTGAAGGTAGTGGTTTCGGACGACAAAAAGTCTTTAATTGGCTAAAAAAAAAAAAAAAAAAAAAAAAACAACAGCAAAACGTTCCATCAAGGACTGACCGCGGTCCCTTCCCTGACATCCTGTCTGTCTAACGAGGGATGCGAAAATACTTCGACCTCTAAACCTCTATGTCACCCTAAATCCCATCAAAACGCCACCACTCCCCTGTACAATAAGGACGTCCCTACCAACATTGATCACATGACGTCAAGGTATTCTTTATCTGTAGGTGTGGCCTTGAACATTAAACTTTACCACGCTGCTGTATGAAAGTACAATAGGTACTTTCGTTGTAGGTTACCTCGTTGAAGATCGTACAGGCAGTGCCATTTAGAATTTTCGAGAATAGTGATGGATCACCTGAAGCATCCTGGAACACGTGTCTTATCTTCTGTTACGGTTGAAAAAAAGATACGATAGCATTCCTGTTGTGAACGTTCTTCCTGCAGACCCTCCGCCACCGACACATAGACTGCAGTCATCAAGTTTCGCCTAGCATCCCCCAAACAGAGACCTCTTGGATTGCTACCTGATATTGCCGGCACCGGTGCGAGCTCTCCGAGAATCCGCGCGCACGAGACGAGTCGCAGGTGTACGAAGACTGGGTCGGCACAGCGAGGCCACGTCAGGCCTGCTTCCTGGCTTTCGGATCTCCAGAGCAGCGGGTCACGTTCATGTCGGCTGATGACGTACCCTTGAGCCGTGCAATATTACGGGCGCAGCCGCAGACGCATTCGAATATGTGTTGAAATTCACTGCGTGAATCATCCTACTATTTCAAGTAAACCACCGCCAGGCTCGTGCTGCATCGGACTGTGTGTGACTCAGCTTTGCCGGCTGTGTGTACCGTGTGCGCTAACCGCCGAATTCAGAAACCCCACTCGAACTACACTCAAACTTAAGGGCCCCTCCACTTCCTCGAGGAAGGCGCGAGGGCCGGCGCTGGCCTATCGTGGAGCCACTCTATATGGCAGCGTAGCTGCCAGAGTAGCGGCACGACGCAAAATTATCTAGATACACGACGTCAGAAGCGCCTATAGTGATCTCCATATAGGGCCTGGGAAGTTTCTATGGTAACCGTACTGCTAGCGACGCCGGGCGGCAACCGTTATCTAGTTGATATCTCCATTCATTAATTATGGCGAATTCGGGTGGTCAATCGCCGGCGAGCTCACGCCGGCGGCACAGGCAACGAAAACCGCGCCAGCGGCGCACCACGTGACCCTCTCCACCCGAACACAAAGCGCCTGCAACTGGCGTTTTCGTCTGACTGGGTCGCTCGTGAACTTCGTTAACTTCTTCCACGATGATTTTATGATACAATAGGCACGCTCTAGGCATCAGCAACATATATTCGGACTCTGAGATCTGGGTAAACAAATTGTAATATATTTTGTTTAGATTCTCGAGGAACTGTTGCCATCTTACAAGGATCCTAGAAGGCTCACCAGCGTCGCCATTTTATATTCCATTTTCTTGTTATTACCTTTTTGCTGGAATCCTCAGCATTTTGATTTGACCCAGCCCTCTAAAATAGTAATGCGCGTTCAAGTGTCGAGCTGCAGCACTATCAATACATTTTTTACAGCGGTGTATTAACACGCTGTGTCCCATAGGAAACTAATCTTGCGGAAGCTTCCTTTAAAATATTTTATCTTTATCTCCATTGTTTTTTCTGTCTTTCTCGGACCACAGAGGGGTGTCTGTCTCAGTGGCTTCGTTTTCTACTAGAACACGCGCTCGGCGACCATTGTTTCGTTTGGTTCCCTTTCCCGATTCAGATATGACGATACCGGATACAGTCTGGCAGACAAGCTGCCCGACCTCTTGGAGCTCGGGCAAAAATTGTGCCGGTAAATTGCCAGCACACGCCTGAGAACTGCCACCCGAACGGCGCGCACTCGCCAGCCTTTGACCACGCGAACGCCCTTGGCGGAGATATGGCAAAATATTTTGCCGGGAAATGACCACGCGAATTCGCCATTAGAAACTGGTAAAAGACCTAAAAGACGCTTTGCATGGCGGTACGGCACGGGCCTCTGGAGGAGCAGTGCCTGTTCTTCTGTGAAATGAGACGACTTGCAGCGTGCTCGGACAAGGCGAGTGG